CCAGATCTCCAGATGCATTTGAGATATCAAAAAAGTACTCCAGAGTGTTGTTCAGCATGGGGGTGAGTAGAAAATGAAGGCTAATCATGTTTTGTGTGTACTATTCCTTTAATCTATTAATAATAATTATAGCCAATCTCATTAAAAATAATTTTACAAAATTAAACCAGGTGAGACTAAAACATTCCCACTTTAGGAGTTCTGGTATAAGCATAATGACAGACGAAAATGTTTTTTTTTTTTATCTTAAATGCAAAATATTTGCTCTAAGTGGGTTGCAGTGTCAGTTAAACAGATGTTTTACAGCCTCTATATTTCGGTGTTAAATTCTGTTTAAAGTAACGGATTATAATTAAAAATGTCTCCGGACCTTTGCTGGTTGTTGATTTTCATTATTTGGACCCCTCTGATTTTTAATTGTTTACCCCTGTTCTAGAGATTATTAATAACAGGAGGTGAAATGCGGCTCCAGACGAGCCGAGCGTGTGGTGATGTCATCAGTACGCTTCTCTTCCAACTAACCTATATTTATGTATCGTGCTCCCGTTCTCCCAGAGTCCACACTTTCCTGTGTTCTTCTTTTAAAGAACATACTTGGTGAGGACACAAGTCCGTACTGGCATTCAAGTCCGTACTGGCCGCAATGTTTAGTAAAGTAAAACGGGGGGCGATCTGAACTTCTAGCCAGCCGTGCCAAGGCCAGAATATTATCATGTAGATGGCTTGTGTCATTATAAACAGAAGAAACATCTAAATCTTGATTGGGAACTGGCAAAGACAGGTCACGTAACCAAAACCTATTTCATGCCAAGAAGCACACTTCTTGCTTACCTGGTAAGAATTTTCGATCCAGTTCTGTCCAGTTTTTGTTTGTTGTCTGGCTTTGGTAGCAGATATTTGATAAAATAAAAAAGTTGTCTATACCCTGTTGATTCTGCCAACCAGCAACACAACAAATTGTCACTTTAAACTACTATTTTCATTGTTTTCCTTGAGTTTTTTTGTTGTGCCTCTGTAACTGATGTTGGTGAAAAAAGGGTCGATTCACGGACTTGCCTTATAAAAGACCAGTGTTGTCATTTTTGCAGACTTTAAGAGTTATTTCTTAAATCTGAGCACCTAACTATGTTTTTGTAAATAACTAGCTGCTTTTTACCATCACTCTGAAAAAGCAAAATGGATGAAATATAATGATTAATCATCCAGATTAGTCTGAAATCCATATTCATAATTTATGTATCCAGAAATCCGTGTTGAGCTGTACATGATAAGAGAAATTCTTGTGTAAACCATCCTGTATTTAATGCTTGGTTTAAATCACTCGTCTGAAGCTGGTTATCTGGGTTTAACAGCTAACAGCTGAGCCAGCGGAAATCTTCGCCGTGTACAGTAAATCCTGCTTACACCTCCATCAGACCTCACTTTCCTCTCACCAACACCCTCTGGGTCTGAGCAGCTAAGATGTTGGGTAATGGTTGTTCATGTTTACCTCATGGGAAATTGGTTAAGATTCTCCGGGTTTGCTTTGTTAAGCCCGTGGTGCTCAGCAGACATGTGGGCAAATGACTAAAATGTTGATTTAAGCTCATTTGTTTTGAGTTGCCTACATTTTGATTTTTTTTGCTCGGAGCAGTCGTATCATGAACAATGCCGTGCTTTGTCCTCAGTCAGCTTCATGTGTTTTAACAGCTTACAATTATTGCTGAACACAAATCCAGGCTGTCGTTCTGTGGGAAAAACCAAGCTTTCCTGAACTGCTTCTGCTGAGATGCATTGTTTTTTTGTTTTCTTTGGCTGTCATGCATTCTGACCATTATTAGGTTGTTTATCCATAGGGAGCATTATGAAGAGCAGCTCTTGTTGGTTCTATGCTACCATTCTTTTTTCACTGTTTACTTTAAGTCTAGTTGCAGTGGCAAGAAGTAAGTGTGGGAAGGTAGTGCGTCCAGGCAAAGCCATGTGGGAAATAATTACACATCTGTTTTAGTCCTCTTTATGCAAGTAGCCTGCTAGTGGTGAGGAACCATGACAGAGCCATCTGCTCTGCAAACTCCCTGCTGCTGCATGGTTTCCCTAAAGCTCAGCCTGTGAGAAAAAAAGAGCTTAAAAAAAATTTAACATTTTGGATCTATTTATCTAAAGGCCTCTAGCATGAAACAAAATCCAGACTGGCCTCCAATTATTTTGGTGAAGAATGAATATGAAACCTTGGTATAAGCCAATAGGAGACCCTCATCATAATCACCTAAATGCCTTTACTTTTATAAGCATTATAAATTTTGATGAAACTTTAACTGAAAACAAAATGGATAACGAAAAATTTCCTGCTTTAAATGTACAGATTAGCTATACCTATTTTATTGTATTGCTATATAATAATAATTGAACTTGATTGATCTCACATTGGACCTCTCATATGCAAAAGTTTTTGCCAGGATTTAGTCGACGAAAACTTAAAAAGCTTTATTCTAATTTTACTCTCTGTCACAAAAAAACCCAATTTGGAATGGGCCAAATAGGCACAGGACACTGTTGATCGTTCAGCCTTTGACAATTTACACATGTACACTTTTCCTCAAGTCTTTGTT